GTAGTAAAATGTCCTTTAAAACTCAAGGAAAATTGTCTTAATCATGACACAAAAGCATAAATTTTATAAAGGGAAAGCGTGATACCTATGACGGTAACATAACTAAGAACTTCTGTCAACCACAGGATACTCCTCAGAGAGAGAAAAGGCAAATCACAGAGCAGAAAAACTTTCTTGAATACATTTATGATCAATAACAGAACTGAAATCAGAACACATAAATAATTCCTACAATCAAGAGAAAAAGGATGAATAAACCAGGAGAAAAATGGTTAAGAAAATTAAAAAGTTACTTTACAGAAAGGATATCCAAAGACTTAATAATCTTAAGAAAACTTCCTCAATCTTATTAGTAATTACAGAAATGCAAATGATCACCACCATAAGATGCCATCACACAAACCCCCAAAGGCTAAAAATAGAAATACTCAGAATTGTAAGTATTGGGGAAGACATGGAATGCTTGAAGTGTACAATACCAGTGGAGTAAAAATCGGTACTACTGTTTTAGAAAACAGGTGACATTATCAAGAAAAGTTCAAGATTCATTACCCTAAGACAGTTAGTCCAAGGTATATACTCAACAAAAATGTGGCCACATGTGCAACAAGAAACGTGTATTTTTAAAAGCAGTATTATTGGGCTAGGCGCGGTGGCTCATGCCTGTAATCCCAGCACTTTGGGAGGCAGAGGAAGGCGCATCACTTGAGGTCAGGAGTTTGAGGCCAGCCTGGACAACATGGCAAAACCCCATCTCTACTAAAAATACAGCTGGGTGTGATGGTGGATGCCTGTAATCCCAGCTACTTGGGAGGCTCAGGCACGAGAATTGCTTGAACTCAGGAGGCAGAGGTTACGATGAACTGAAATCATGCCACTGCACTCCAGTCTGGGTGACAGAGTGAGATTTTATCTCAAAAAAAAAAAAAAGCAGCACTATTTATCACAGTAAAAACTGGACACAACCTAAATGTAATAGAAAAAAAGAGATTCCATTTTCAGTCACAATTTGTGTAGGAATGAATTTTTGAAAAGATATGAAAGACATGATTAAAAAAAAAAGTATAAAATATTATTAAAGAATGAACAAGATAATTCACACGTACAACTCAATATCTCAAAGTTGTCAGTTCTGTCAAGTTAATCTATAAATTCAATGTAGTTCCAACAAAAATCATAAAAGTGTTTTATTATGGCAGTTCACAAAATGATTTTAAAATTGAATGTAATAATTAAGTTCCAAGGAGAGCAAGACTATTCTGCCTTTATCAAACTATATTATAAAGCTACAATAATTACAAAAGTGTGGTAGAGAGAACTTAGAAACAGTTTTGAATATGTATAGAAACTTGGTATATTACTGAGAGGAATTACAAATTAATGGAGAACAAAATAGCATGCAATTGATGGTGTTAGGGCAATTGGCTATCTATATGAACAAAATACTTCCCCCAACTTCCAATTAGATTAAAGACCCAATATTAAAAATGGAACTTGAATATTTTTGAAGAAATGTGGAATATCTTTACTACATCAGTATCGGGGTGAATTTCTTAAATGTGACAGAAAAGCATGAAATACATACACACACATAGATGAACAAATTTTACTACATTCAAAATTACAAACTTCTCTCCAGGCACGATGGCTCATGCCTGTAATCCCAGCACTTTGGGAAGCTGAGGTGGGTGGATCACTTGAGTCCAGTAGTTCAAGACCAGTCTGGGCAACATAGTGAGACCCTGTCTCTACCAAAATACAAAAATTAGCCAGGCATGGTGATGCTTGCCTGTAGTCCCACTTACTCAGAGGGGTTGAGATGGGAGGATCGCTTAAGCCCCAGGAGGTTCAGGCTGCAATGAGCCGAGATCGTGCCACTGCACTCCAGCCTGGGTGGCAGAGTGAGACCATGTCTCAAAACAAAACAAAAATTTACAAACTTTTGTACAACAAAATAAATCACAATCAAATTTAAAAGGCAACATGCTGGGAGAATATAATTGCAATACTAACAAAAATTGGCATTCAGGTTCTTTGAAGAACTCCTATAAATCAATATAAAATATGTTTACTATCATGATACTATTGGTAACCTGCAGGCAGCAACCACAGAAGACAGCAAGACTAATATGAATGAACACTTAAAAAAAGAGGCCGCTCTGGTACATACCAGCTGAATATTAGCCCTCTAAACAACTTTTAACAATATCAACAAAATATTATGTGAACACAGAATAATGTAAATCCCCTCTCAGCAAAAAAGAAAAAAGTCAAATTTGAAATGAGTGCTTTCCTTCAAGCAAGGAATTAGCATTAGTTAATAGAAAACTGATGCTAACTTCTTGAATAATAACATTTTAGGTTGGGCAATGTGAAATGGCCATTTTTAAAGCAAAAGATGGTTAAAAACTGCCAATTTCAAATGATTCAGCCTCTATATTCTTAATTTAACTATGGTATTGCAAATTGCCAGTTTATATACAATATTCCAATCTGTAGAGCTAAACACAGAACCTGTATATTAACTAATGTGCTTGAAACTAGCCAATAAGACTAAAACTTGATTTTACTGAATTATGTAAGTCAGTTTACAGTGTTATATTTTCCTGGAATTTGATATAAAAATTGATTTAGAGCCCACTAAAAATGTAATTATTTATGTTTGTCAAAAATTGTGAAATATGCTTAGATGATTATTTAAAGCCTAAACCTGAATGAGAGAAAATCTAGCTAAACTTAAATTGGTTGGACTTACAAAATGGGGCTTTTTCCCCCATTTTAACCCCACCAATGTCAACTTCTTTGTATCATTAGACTATAAAAATTCCAGTATAATTTTTGAAATAGTATCTCTGTTGGCTGCCTTAATCTAAAGGTTCTCACAAAGTTTAAGAACAACCTTAATATTACTGGAACAAAAACAGACATACAGACCAATGGAACAGAACAGAAAGCCCAGAATAAATCCATGCATTTATAGTCAGCTGATGTTCAACAAAGGTGCCAAGAGTCCAAGATGGGGAAAGGACAGTCCCTTCAATAAGCGATACTGGGCAAACTGAATATCCACTGGTGGAAGAATGAAATTACACCCTATTTCACCTATATACAAAAATCAACTCAAAGTAAATGCTTAACTGTGAAACCTGAAGCTGAAAAACTACTAGAAGAAAACATAGGTGAAAATCTTCTTGACATTGGTCTGGGACAAGATATTTTTGGATATGACTGAAAAGCATAGGCAACAAAAGAAAAAGTAGACAAATGATACTGTATCAAACTAAAATGCTTTTGCACAGCAAAGGAAACATTTATGGAGTAAAGAGACAACCTACAGAATGGGAGAAAATATCTACAAAGCATACATTCGATAATAGGTTAATAGATTTTTTTAAAAAAGGAACTCAGACAACACAATAGCAAGAGAACAAGTTACTTCTCTAGAAAATGGGCAAAGAACCTGAAAAGATATTTCCCAAAAGAAGACACACAAGTGGCCAAGAGGTATATGAGGAAATGCTAAACATCGTTAATCATCAGGGAAAAGCAAATTAAACACAAAGTCATATCCTCACGCCTGTTAGGATGGTCATTAACAAAAAGACAAAAGAGTTGGTCAGGATGTAGAGAAAAGGGATCTCCCTCGTACACTGTTGGTGTGCATGTAAATTAGTAGTTATTATGGAAAACAGCACTGAGATTCCTCAAAAAACCAAGAATAGAACTACCATATGATTTGGAGATTCCACTTCTGGGTATACACCCAAAGGAAACGAAATCTGCACTCCCGCGTTCATTGCAGCATTATTCCTAATACCCAAGCTATGGATGTAAATGTCATCAATGGAGGAATGGATAAAGAACATGTGGTATGTGTAAATAAAGGCATACTCTTCAGCCTGAGAGGATATCCTGTCACTTGAGACAATATGGATGAACCTGGAGAACACTATGCTAAGTGAAATAAGCCAGGCATAGAAAGACAAATACTGCACGTCTCACTTATTTGTGGAATCTAAAAAAGTCAGATTCATAGAAGCAGAGAGTAGAATGGTGGTTACCAGGGGCTGGGGGGACAAAACTGGGGGAATTGTAGAGATGTTGGTTTTTACTTTATTATTATATTTTTTAGATGGAGTTTTGTTCTTGTTGTCCAGGCTGGAGTGCAATGGTGCGATCTCGACTCACTGCAACCTCTGCCTTCTGGGTTCAAGTGATTCTTCTGCCTCAGCCTCCCGAGTAGCTGGGATTACAGATGCATGCCACCACACCCAGCTAATGTTTTGTATTATTAGTAGAGCTAGGGCTTCACCATGTGATCCACCTGCCTCAGCCTCCCAAAGTGCTGGGATTACAGGTGTGAGCCACTGCACCCAGCCTGAGATGTTGATTAAAGGATGCAAAATTTCAATTAGGAAGAATAAGTTCAGGAAATTCATTGTACAACATAGTGACCATAGTTAATATATATTTGAAAACTGCTGAGAGAGTAGATTTTAAATTACTCCACAAAAATATGTGGAGTAATGCATACGTCAATTAGCTTGATTTAACCATTTCACAATGTTTATATACATCAAAACATCATATTGTACACCATAAACAGATTTTTATGTTAATTAAAAAATTTAAAAAGATCAGCCTTAAATAAAATAAAAGTATTCTGACATTCTAAAATTAAAGACTGTTTGTATTTTGAGAGATATAAACTGGCAAACCAAAAATAAAGAAATCCAAATACTAGGAAAACAAGGGAAAATATGCTCAACCTTCCTTAGTTCTTTTTTCCTGCTTTCTTCCCTTCCTTATCCTCTCCCTATCGCCTACCCTTCCTCCTCTCCTCTTTCCTTTCTCCTCCCCTTCTTTCAGTCTTGGAGCTAATATTTTAAAATGCTAACAATTGTTAATACGTATTAATAGCAATATGTATCTTGTTCTTGTACTTTATCTATATTTACATGTCTTTAGAAAGGGAGAAATAAAAAGGAAAATGTTATTACCTTTGCCTCCTTTACAGTGAATTGCTACGATGTTTGCAGGATCTTGAGCCATCCACTCATTTACTTCCTTGGTGAAAACCACCATCTCACTAATTTCAAGTTTAAGATTTTTAGTTAAAATATTTTCAAAAAATCAAACCCAATATATTTAGCCCTCTTCTGATAGTCAACTTAGCATAAAACTTACTGTAGAGTGGGGACATTATGATCATCAATCATGATTCTGCTGACCCTATTATGGAAGTACTTAGGATCATAAGCTCTTTCACCTAAAATAAATAATATGTATGTCATACCTCTATAGGGAATAACATAATAAATGATGAACTTATAAATAAGTTAACATATCTTATTAGAATTCCTTATCTGTCTTCAAAAAGAGCTTTCCAAGTTGCTCCTGCCGCTCTAAAATAAACACGGGGTCTCAAAAACGTAAGGATGGTAGTGGTTTATCCATCTCATGTAACCCAAACTCAACTATTTTTGTTTAATAGGTATAATTTTTAACTTTCTAGCAGACCATTCATTATATTATTGCAGGGCAGTTAGAAACCACGCAAGAGGCAAATGTAGCTGACCAAAATGATTGCCCCCTGAAAATGTCTATTGAGTATACAGGTAGAGGAAAAAGTCAAGAGAGACAGAGTATGAAGCTGGGTTACAGCCTATTTTCCAGAGTGTTTCCTTTTCTCCCATCTAGGGTCCTGCTCTCATCACAGTCCACTGCAGATGGGGCAGAGGACTCATTTGTTAAATCGTCTATGTCCTCATAACACAATCTGGCAGGAAAAACGAAAGATTTTCCTAAACCTAATGTTGCTAGAACAGATCTTCCCTAAAATGGTTTGCTTCCACTCCAGCCTCATTGGTCCTGCCAAAGCCGCCTCCTTCACAGGGTCCTGTGTGCTGCTGGGTTAACTCCTTCTACTAAATGGGGCCAGTCCAAGATGGGGCTTTTTAAATTCATTCCTTGCCACCACCAAATACTTATGATTAAATGCAATAAAAACACAAAATCATCTTCTTACATACAGTAATCTGTTTTCTATCTACAGTAGCAAATATAGAGTAATGTACATACTGCATAGATTATAGACTCGATAGTGATTTGGATGTTTCTTATCTAGAAACCGCACGACTTCCTAAAAAAGACAAACACATAGCTTACATATTTACATGGCACCAACATAAGCTATTTCCTAGGGGGAACCTACAATGGTTATTACTTTCATTAATTTGTCTCTCACTCGCATCTTCTAGGGGAGATTCAGGGAATACGAGGGTACGCAAATTTCAAGTTCTAATCCACTGCGATTTTTCAAACAGTCCACAAAGTGTGTCTGGCCACTCAGATGAGTCTCTATTGTAAATACACACTGTTGAAAGCTATCAGATAAGGAAATCAGCTGGTGAACTAACTTTAAGTAATGTGTTCTAAATCATTAATTCACAGTTAATGTGGTTCTTGTTTAAATCTAATTCATATTGGTTCTTATTTAAATTTAATTCGGAATAGATACATCTTTAGAGAGTGATCTGTATATTACAGTCTACCTAAGCACTACGTAAACAAATACATGCAAAAAGTATATAGTATGATTGTGTGTATGCATGATAGAAAAAGATAAACATATCAAATTTTAAATAACTGGTAACAATATGGAGACTTTTTTGGCTCATCTGTTCTCCTATTTTTTTAAATGAAGATATATGTGTACCTATAAGTGTGTGTATATACAATGTATACATATGTGTAACCTTTAAAATGAAAAACAAATAGTAGTTATTATTTAAAATACAGTTAATACCACTATATGAATCCAACTTTCAGTAAATATATCTTTCTGAAACATACACACACATATTTATATATCTCTGTGCAACAACAAAAATGACACAAAATTTTAAAACTGATTAGTATGCTACCCTCAGAGCAACATTTACTGGCTTAATATTGAGAAAAATAAAATTAAGGTACTAAAGTCATCCATTTATTCAACTGGCTATCTCTGTTAAGAAGAAATAGCCAAAAAGATGAACACTCTGAATCTGCATAGTGGGGAAGGCAAGGATGAACAGTTTTATATACTTCAGAATTCATGGAATTTCTTACATAAAATCCATATGGGTTTAGAAATCACATACAAAAACTACAAACATCTATGAGAAATTTAAGCAAATTTTAATCAGTTCTTTGGATGAGGAAGAACTGAAAGTGTTGAATCAGTGGAAGATCAACAGGCTTAGGTTTGACTTCATAAAAATCTGAAATTTCTGCTTAAAATGCTATAATGAGTAACAGGGGAAACGATTTTTCAGAAAAATCGACTGACTGGGGACTATGTCTAGTATGATAAATTAATAATTAATTAACAACAACTTAAATATTACTCACTCACCTTATAGATAAATGGGCCAAGGACATAAACAATCCATAAAAGGGAAAATCTAACTGATTAACAACCTACATAAATATTCAGTGTCACCAACAAAGAAGTCAAAACAATGACATGCCATTTGCACCCATGAAATTAACCCTTTCTTTTTTTTTTTTTTGAGACGGAGTCTCAAAAAATACATTAAGACCAAAAGGAATACATTAAGACCAAAAGGAATTTATTCCAAAAATAAAAAAGGTTGGTTTAACATGTGAAAATCTCATTAATGGACTAACAGAAAAACATTTTGATTATCTTGATAGATGCAGAAAAAATATCTGATATATTCAATACCAATTCATGATTCAAAACTTTTAGCAAACTAGAAATAAATGGACTGTCTTAATCTAGTAAAGAATGACTACAAAAGCCTATAGCAAACATCATTTCAAATAGTAAAGCATGAAATTCTTTCCACCCGAGTTTGGGAACAGGGCAAGGCTGCCTCCTCTTACCATTTCTATTCAATATTACAGTGAAAGTCCTAGATAATTCGATAAAGAAAGAAAAAAAAGTATAAAAAGTGGGAAGAAAGTAGTAACTTTATATGATTGTATACATTTTAAAAATCCCAGGGAATCTACACATTCATTATTAAAATGAACGTGTGAATTTACGAAGGATGCTAGATGTAAAGTCAACATCCAAGGCCAGGTGTGGTGGTTCACACCTGTAATCCCAGAACTTTGGGAAGCTGAGGTGGGAAGATTGCTGGAATCCAGGAATTCAAGACCAGCCTGGGCCAAGGAGACCAGAGAGAATCCTTCTCTACAAAAACTAATAAAAAAAAAATTAGCCAAGTGTGGTGATGCCTGCTTATAGTCCCAGCTATGTGGGAGACTGAGGTGGGAGAATTGCTTGAGCCCAAGTGCCACTGCACTCCAGCCTGTGGTGACGGAGCAAGGCCCTGTCTTAAGACAAACAAATAAACAAAAGTCAATATGCAAAAATTAGTTATGCTCCTATATACCAAGAGCAAATAGAGATCTTCAAATATCATTTAAAATAGCATAAAAACTTATCAACTACGTAGAAATAAAACTAACAAAAGATGTGTAAAACCTGTACGCTACAAACACTGCTAAAAGAAATCAAAGAAGACATCAGTAGAGAGATGTATTATGTTCATGAGTTGGAAATCTCAGTATTTTTAGATGTCAATTCTCTCCAAATTAAGCTATGTAGTCAATGCCCAAGTCAAAATACTAACAGGGTGTGTGTGTGTGTGTGTGTGTGTGTGTGTGTGTGTGTGTGTGTGGGTTTGGGTGGAGGTGTGTGTATATAAATTGCCAAGATGATTCTAAAATTTATATGGAAATTCAAAAAATCTAGGAGAGCCAAGATAGTTTTTAAACAAAGTACAAAGTTGGAGGACTTATACACAAGTTTTCAAGAGTCACTATAAAGCCGTAATAATTAAAACTGTGGTCTGAAGTATAGACAGTCATAATGAAAGGACAAAAAGCCCAGAAACAGATCTATACATATATGTGCACTTTATTTGCAATAAACGCACCTCTGCAATTCATTGGGGGAAATTATGCTTTTTACAATAAATGGTACAGGAGGAATTGAGAGCTATGTGAGAAACGTGAACCTTGATACTTTATAACTTTACAACAATTAATTGGAGGTCAGTCATAGACCAAAATATTGATAGAGGTGTTGGTTACATGCATATATACTTACGTATAATATCATCAAGATATAACTTGATTAGTGCAACCTACCATATGTTTTATACTTCAATAAAAATGTGGTTATATATGCATGCATATATAATTCATACTTATATCAGGGCATATGTATATACAGATACTTTTATATATCTTTTTTACTTCAACTTTTATTTTAGGTTCAGGGGTATGTGCGCAGGATGTGCAGGTTTGTTACATAGGTAAATGTGTGCCATGGTGGTTTGCTGCACAGATCATCCCATCCCTAGGTATTAAGCCCAGCATCCATTAGCTATTCTTCCTGATGCTCTCCTTCCCCCATCCCCTCACTCCCGACAGGCCCCAGTGTGTGTTATTCCTCACCATGTGCCCATGTGTTCTCATTGTCAGCTCCCACATATAAGTGAGAACATGCAGTGCTTGGTTTCCTGTTCCTGTGTTAGTTTGCTGAGGATAACAGCTTCCAGCTACATCCATGTCCCTGCAAAGGATGTAATCTTGTTCCTTTTTACAGCTGCACAGTTTTCCATGGTGTTTATATACCACATTTTCTTTTTGTTGTTGTTTTTTCAGTGTTAAATACTCTTTATTTGGTATTACACAGAAACCACACAAAACGCCTTTGAATCAGTAAAAGGAACCACCTTAAATACAGGTAATTCTAATTAGATTGGCATAGTTAAGGCCAAAAATACAAATAGACATTGCTACCTTATCCTCAACCCTTGCCTGTAAGAGGCAAATAAACACAAAATACAGGTGAATTTTGCTTGGTTCTGAGACAGTGAAGGAATTTCCCCAGTATTTAAATATATTCACATAACCAGTCATATAAATCTAAATATAAATCTAAATATAAAACCAATCTCCAATAAGTTTTGTTTTTTGTTTTTTTTTTTTTTTGAGACGGAGTCTCGCTCTGTCGCCCAGGCTGGAGTGCAGTGGCCGGATCTCAGCTCACTGCAAGCTCCGCCTCCCGGGTTCACGCCATTCTCCTGCCTCAGCCTCCCGCGTAGCTGGGACTACAGGCGCCCGCCATCTCGCCCGGCTAGTTTTTTGTATTTTTTTAGTAGAGACGGGGTTTCACCGTGTTAGCCAGGATGGTCTCGATCTCCTGACCTCGTGATCCGCCCGTCTCGGCCTCCCAAAGTGCTGGGATTACAGGCTTGAGCCACCGCGCCCGGCCTCCAATAAGTTTTAAGATGGAACTCACCATCTTTGTGAAAAGTTGAACATTATTAACAAAGTCTAATCATATCTTTAGAAGGGGTAAGCAGTGATAGCATTGACTGAATTGGAATTACTATTAATATTCAAAAACCAGACTTACTCATTTAACCACAAGCCAGTCTTAGTTTTAAATCAGGACTGCCCAACAAAATATTCTGATAGACATTCATAATCTGAATTCTGCTGTATGAGATCTACTAAATTATGGTACACATAAAAAAGTCACGAGACATCTCTGTTTTGTAATATAAGGCAGTGGCCAATTATTACTCACTTGTAGCTTTTTTGAGATAAGCTAACAAGTCTGCCCTTTCTGCCTTCTTCTTAATGCCGGCAAAGATCATTTTTGTTCCAGGAACGTACTTCCTGGGATTCTCCAAATACTCCCTCAGTGTATCATTTCCCCAGGTGATGCCTTTGTTCTTACCGGTGTCCATGTAAGAGAATCCAATGGCCTGACCTGTCTTCCACCCGAAGAGACCATGGAGATTAGGCCCAGTCTTGTGCTTGCCTCCCGTTTCCACGGTGTGGCACTGGGCACACTTCTGAACAAAAATCTTCTTGCCTTTCTCAACATCACCCATATTTAATTCTCTCTTTCGTCGCTGGCGCTACAAAGGTTCCCGCTCAGAAGCCGGACGTCCCTCTCTATGTACCACATTTTCTTTATCCAATCTATCATTGGCTGGCATTTAGGTTGATTCCATGTCTTTGCTGTTATGAATAGTGCTGCAGTGAACATATGTGTGCATGCATGTATCTTTATAAGACAGTGATTTACATTCCTTTGGGTATATACCCTACAATGGGATTGCTGGGTCAGATGGTATTTCTGCCTCTAGGTCTTTGAGGAATTGCCACACTGTCTTCCACATGGGTTGAACTAATTTACACACCCACTAAGAGTGTAAAAGCATTCGTTTTTCTCTGCAATCTTCCCAGCATCTGTTGTTTTTTGGCTTTTTAATAATAACCATTCTGACTGGCATGAGATGGTATCTCATTGTGGTTTGGTTTGCATTTCTTTAATGATCAGTGATGTTGAGCTCTTTTTTCATATTTTTGTTGACTGCATGCATGCCTCTTTTGGGAAGTGTCTGTTCAGATCCTTTGCCCACTTTTTAAAGGGGTTGTTTTTATCTTGTAAATTTAAGTTCCCCATTGACTCTGAACGAGGTATTACCAGTGAAGGCCGCAGAACAGCAAAGACGGCAGCCAGCTCCTTCCTTTGGAAGCTCCATCCCAGGTGGATACCGACCTGTAGCCAGTTCGCACATACCTGCAGGAGGTGGCTGGAGACCTCTCTTGCGCGTTCTCACCCAGTCAGGAGGTATGGGACCAGGGACCCCTCCAAAGCAGCAGTCCGGCTGCTTTGGGGTAGAGCAGGTGTGCTGCATTGTGGGGGATACTTCCTCCTTCGGACCACCTGTATTCTCCAAAGCCAGCAGGTTGGAGTGGCTGAGTTGGCCAAACTGCAGAGATGGCAGCTGCCCCTCCTGCCAGGAGCTCCATTTCAGGGAGAGATCAAAGCTCTGTCCATAGAACCATTGCTGGAGTGGTTAAAGCCCCTGCAGGGATTCTTGCCCAGTAAGAAGGAATGGATTGGGGTCCTGCTTAAAGAAGCAGTCTGGTCACGATCTGGCAAGCCAGCTGTGCTGTGTTGTGGGGAACTCTTCCTTGTCCAGACTCCATAGCTGGCAGGCTGGAGTGGCTGAGTCTATGAACCACAGTGATGCCGGCTGCCTCTCCCCACCTCCCTGGGAACTCAGCCCCATCTGAGGTAGATTCCAGCCCACTGCTGTTGGCAGGCTAGGATTCCAAGCCAGTGGGTCTTAACTTGTGAGGTGCCATGGAAATGGGGCCTGCAGAATGATGCTGCCTGGTTGCTTGGATTCAGGCCCCTTCCCAGAGATACGTATGGACAGATTTCCCACTGTGTTGAAGATCCCGGGGGCTAGAGTGTATAAAACTCCTGGGTTTCTGTGTGTGCCTGAGCAGCTGATGTGCCCAGACTCCATACAGCTCTGTGAATCAGACCCAAGGCCCTGGTGGCATGGGCTCACAGGGGGATCTCCTGATCCATGGCTTGCCAAGATCCATGGGAGAAGCACGGTTTCCTGGGCAGGATTGCACAATCCCTCACTGCTTCCCTTGGCTGGGAGTGGGGGTTCCTTTGGCTCTATGCCACCCCTGGCTGAGGCATTGCACCCTCTCTCCACTTTTCTTCATTCTCCTTTGGTTGACCTGTTCATCCAGTCAGTCCCAACGTGAGAACCTGGATATCTCAGTTGAAGGTGCTGAATTCCCTCCCCTCTTTTCATTCCTCTTTGTGAATGCTGCAGACTGCAGCTGCTTCTAATTGGCCATCTTGCATCACTGTAAACTTTTTCAACCCAGTTCTTAATTCCTATAGTCCCTTGTTTATCACCAGTTTCTTGATAAAATCATCTGTCTACGTTCTCCAGTCATGGGATGATGACTCAGGCCGGGGATCCAGGACATTTTCTGGGAAGCAGCTGAACTTGCAGCCCTGTCCCGTTTGGAACTGAGCTAACACACTGCAGAGAGGTACTGTCCTGTTCGGAACTGGAGAAGCACGGTTTCCCTGGGCAGATTGCACAATCCTCACTGCTTCCTTGGCTGGGAGTGGGGGTTCCTTGGCTCTATGCCACCCTGGCTGAGGCATTGCACCCTCTCTCCACTTTTCTTCATTCTCCTTTGGTTGACCTGTTCATCCAGTCAGTCCCAACGTGAGAACCTGGATATCTCAGTTGAAGGTGCTGAATTCTCCCTCTTTTCATTCCTCTTTGTATTGCAGACTGCAGCTGCTTAATTGGCCATCTTGGTATCACTGTAAACTTTTTTCAACCCAGTTCTTAATTCCTATAGTCCCTTGTTTATCACCAGTTTCTTGATAAAATCATCTGTCTACGTTCTCCAGTCATGGGATGATGACTCAGGCCGGGGATCCAGGACATTTTCTGGGAAGCAGCTGAACTTGCAGCCCTGTCCCGCTTAACCCTAGTTTAACACACTGCAGAGAGGTACTGTCCTGTTCGAACTGAGCTAACGCACGCGAGAGGCACTGTCCTGTTCAGAACTGGACAACCACGTGGAGAGGCACTGTCCTGCCTAGAACTGAGCTAGCGCACTGGCGTGGAGGTACTGTGCCGTTCAGAACTAGCTAACACACTGCAGAGAGGCACTGTCCTGTTGGGAACTGAGCTAACGACCATGGAGAGGTACTGTGCTGTTCAGAACTGGAGTGTTAACGCACTGCAGAGAGGCGTTGTCCTGCTGGGAACTGGAGTTAACGCACTGCGGAGAGGTACTGTGCTGTTGGGAACTGAGTTAACGCACTGCAGAGAGGTACTATGCTGTTCGAACTGAGCCAACGCACTGCGGAGGCATCCTATTCAGAACTGGAGCTAACGCACTGCAGAGAGGCACTGTCCTGTTGGGAACTGAGCCAACGCGAGACTGGGCGGAGAGGTACTGTGCTGTTCAGAACCGAGCTAACGACTGCAGAGGCAATTGTCCTGTTCAGAACTGAGCTAACGCACCGCGGAGAGGTAATCGTGCTGTTCGAACCGGAGCTAACGACTACAGAGAGGCACTGTTGATCCTGCTGGGAACTGAGCTAACGCACTGTGGAGAGGCACTGTGCTGTTGGGAACTGAGCTAACGCACTGCAGAGAGGTACTGTCCTGTTGGGAACTGAGCTAACACACTGCAGAGAGGTACTGTCCTGTTCGGAACTGAGCTAACACTGCAGAGAGGTACTGTCCTGTTCGGAACTGAGCTAACACTGCAGAGAGGTACTGTCCTGTCTCTCGAACTGAGCCAATGCACTGCGGAGGAGGCAATTGTCCTGTTTGAACTGAGCTAAAGCACTGCAGAGAGGTACTGGTGCTGTTGGGAATTGAGCTAACGCACTTGGGAGAGGGCATCATCCTGTTCAGAACTGAGCTAACGCACTGCAGAGAGGTACTGTGCTGTTGGGAACTGAGCTAACGCACTGCAGAGAGGCACTGTCCTGTTCGGAACTGAGCTAACGCACTGCAGAGAGCTACTCCTTCCACCTCTCAGCAACTGATGCCAGCCCTCGATAATTATACTTTTATTGAGGTATAATAAGTATTGTAAATTACATAAAATTAAACAATGATCCTTTCAGATGGCATTTCACAGTAAACAGCATTATATGTTTGAAATTAATTTAGTCATCCACAGAGCCTAAAGCAGTATGCCCCCACTATAATTTAGGATCTCAACCTAAGAATACACATTTTGTTATAGCATCCCCATCTTTCTTCCCTATGGTAGACTATCAAAAACGGCCACGATTCTTTATAATACTTTCCATCAAGAATTTGAGCTTATTTTCTACTCCTTGAATCCAGACTGGTAGTGTAATTTGCATTGTCTAGTAAAATAGGGTGGAAGTAATATACAATTTTGAGCCTGGGCCTTAAGAGGATTTGCAATGCTTTGTTGCCGCTCCAGGGACTCTTGCCTCTGCCATCGTGTGAACAGGCCTGAAGCAGCCTACTGGAGAATGAGAGACCACACCAGGCCATTCAGCCAAGTCAGGTTATTTTCTTTTCTTTCATTTAAAAAATCTGTTTCCTTCATTCTTTAAAAATATTTCTAATTGACACATCATACTTGCTCATATTTATAAGGTAGAGAGGGATATTCCAATACCTGTATACAATGTGTAATGACCAAATCAAGATAATCAGCATATCTATCACCTCAAATATTTATCATTCTTTGTGTTGGGAACACTCAACATCCTCTCTATTTAAAAATATACAATAAATTATTGTTAACTGTAGTCACCCTACAGCACTATAGAACACCAGAACTTATTCCTATCTGTAAGCTTAAATCTGATATTTCTTTGTTGATTTTCTGTCTGGATGATCTGTCCCGTGGTAAGAGTGGGGTGTTAAAGACTCCAATTGTTACTGCATTGAAGTCTATCTTTCCCTTTAGATCTAATAATATTTGCCTTGTTTATCTGAATACTCTAGTGTTGGGTACATATATATTTATAATTATTATATCTTATTGCTAAGTTGATCCCTTTATTATAAAATGACCTTCTTTGTCTCTTCATACAGTTTGACTTAAAGTCTGTTTTATCTGATAAGTATGGCTACCTCTGCTCGCTTTTGGTTTCTGTTTGCCTGAAATATTTTCCTCTATCCCTTCACTTTCAGTCTGTGTGAACCTTTACAGGTAAAGTTAGTTTATTGTAGGCAGTATACAGTTGGGTCTTTTTTTTTTTAAATCTTGGTAGCCAACTCTATATCTTTTAATTGGGAATTTGATCTGTTTATATTACATTCAAGGTTACTATTAATAGATGAGGCTTTATTCTGTCATTTTGTTCATTTCTTTCTGGTTGTTTTGTACATCCTTTGTTCTTTTCTTCCCCCCTTTTTTTTAAAATCTTTGTGGTTTGGTCATTTTCTGTAACAATAAAGTTTGATTCCTTTCTCTTTCTCACGTGCGTATCTGTGCTACCAGTGAGTTTTATACTTTTGTGTGTTTTCACAATGGTAATCATCCTCTTGCTTCCAGATGTAGAACCACCTTAAGCAGTACTTATAAATAGGCCAGTTTAGTGGTAATGAATTCCTTCAGTTTTTGCTTGTCTAGGAAATACTTTATTTCTCCCTCATTTCTAGGGGATAGCTCTGCTGGGTATAGTATTCTTGGTTGACAGTTTTGTTTTTTGGTCCTTCAGTACTTTGAATATATCATCCCATCTCATTGTCTACTGACCTGTAAAGTTTCCACTGGGAAATCCACTGTTAATCAAATGGAGATTCCCTTATATGTGACTTGATGCTTTTTTCTTGCTGTTTTGAATATTTTCGTTTTTTTTTTTTTTTTTTTTTTTTTGGGATACAGTCTTGCTCTGTCACCCAGGCTGTAGTGCAATGGTGTGATCTTGGCCCACTGCAACCTCCACCTCCTGGGTTTAAGCAATTCTTGTGATTCAGCCTCCCAAGTAACCGGAAGTACAGGTTCATGCCACCACACCCAGCTAATTTTTTTGTATTATTAGTGGAAATGGAAACACGTTGGCCATGCTCATCTTGAATTTTTTTTTTTTTTTTTTGAGACAGGTTCTCACTCTGCCCCCTAGACTGGAGTGCAGCGGTACAATCTTGGCTCACTGCGACCTCCACCTCCTGGGTTCAAGCAATTCTCGTATCTCAACCTCCCAAGTAGATTGCAGGCATGTGCCACCAAGCCCAACTAATTTTTGTATTTTTTAGAGACAGGATTTTACCATGTTAATCAGGCTTGTCCTGAACTCCTAGCCTCAAGTGATCCACTGTGCTGGCCTCTCGAAGTGCTGGGATAACAGGTGTGAACCACTGCACCTGGACTCTTGATGGTATTATTTTACTCCTTAAATTCTTCAGCTCCAAGATCTCTGTCTGGTTTTTAATGACATATATATCCCTGTTGAATTTCTCATAAGATCATAAATTGTTTTTCTAATTTCATTGATTTGTTTATCTATATTCTCTGCATCTCATAGAGTTTCCTTAAGATCACTATTTTGAATTCCTTCTTAGCCATTTGATATACTCTTAAAATTTAGGGTCTGCTAATGGGAAATTATTGTGTTTCTTTGGAGGTGTAATGTTTCCTTGCTTTTTATGTTTCTTGGGGCCCTAAATTGATTTTTGCACATCTGGGGGAACAGTTGCCTCTTCCAATGTTAGGGAGCTTTCATAGAGAAATACTTCTTCCAATAGTTGCCTCCTATAGTGTTCATTGAGTCGGGTGCTTTGACTTTGGTTCTGGGTGGGTGCAGTATTATAGTCTTCATGTGACTTTTTTGGCTGTAATCAGCATTCAGTGGTGTCTGTGAGTGCCTCAGTGGCCTGATGGTGAGTGTGGAGACAGTGGTATGGTTTTTTTGGTCTGTGAGCCATCATTCAGATGAGTTCTCAGGCCCTAGGCATATGCATGCTAGGTGCAGTGGCTTTGCTAGTTGTGGGGTATTGCCACCAGCAGGTTGGGCACCAGGCAGGCCAGTCCTCAGTGCCTTAGAAGTGCATGCAGCATATGGTGGCTCTGCTGGTGAAGGGGGTGGGGCTGTTGGCAGCAGTGGGTGCCAGATGGGACGGGCCTTGGGCCTTGGGGGGTGCGTGTAGCATGCGGTGGCTCTGTCAGTTGAGAGTAGCCAAGCCATTTTAGACTAGTCAGTCCTCAGATGACCCAGTAGCTGCCCACAGATAGCTGAATGAGCTTAGCTGAGACAAGAAATCATTTCTGCAGGCACCTGAATTGGCCAGTTAAGCCCATCCCAAATTCACACACCATAGTGTCATGGGCCAAATAAATAGTTGCTGTTATAAGCCAGTAAGTTTTGGGGTGGTTTGTAACCACTGGCACAATTGCAACTGGTATCATTTCATTATGATTTTTTTTACTTTAAAGAGTACATTCTTAAAAGAACACTGCCATACCTGGGTCAATATTAAACTTGTGACTACATAGTCTGCATTCACTGATAAATGAGTATTTGTCAGATAAAGACCCTTACCTCAATTGGATTTCTATAGAAAGACTGCCTTCCAGAAGATGGAAATGACATAGCGATAATACGTTCTGAAAATCAAAACCATCACTATTAAAAACATTATTATAGATTTCTTACGACATACAAAAAATTTATACATGATCAGACTCCATTTTCACAGGAAAAAAAAAACTTTTAAGATTGAGGTTGACAGAAAAGAGCTAATATTCAGGATAACCAAATAACATATTAAATAATCCAACATAATGACCATTAAACTGGCATGGCGTTCTTAAGACTCCACTAGTACTAACCGTATGCCATGTACTTATGTTGGCCTCAGTATGGAGCTCTCCCTGTTCTTAGAATTTATTTCTTATCTTAAATACCAGAGAAAATCCAAGAGTTCTGGGCACCAGTGATGGTGGGAACTCCCAAGGTGCTTTGCAGCCCTCTGAGATCTACAAAGCACTGACCTCATTCTCTGGGGTTCTAGGATGAGAAGAGGTCTCTCTGGGATCCTGGAGACTCAGAATAACTACTAGAGCTTAATAAATTGAAACTGAAATGGAGTCAGCTGAAAATCCATTCAAGTTCCTATGCTGCAACTGAGTAGTCCTGAAATGAGAAGACATGCAGCTCTTCCATTGCCAGGGCTAAACCACAAATGTGTCACACTATCACAGTGGCATGTATCCTCATGAATAAAGAATATTTTGAATGAATGTGTCTTAGATGAGGCAAAAAAATACACAATTACAAGAAAAAGTGAAGTAATACAAGTAAATCAACAGCTAAGTGTCACAAACCTGTAACATAAGTGAGGTCTAGGTCAAATCCATCCTTTGTGTATCGCCTTTTGTTTTCTGAAACCTGAGAGTTTAAAATCATCGTTAGTTTGTGAAACATTCATCAACATAAAAATAAAAACATTGTACAGCATAGATATCAACCCTTGCCAATGGGTCCCAAAACACAAAATAGTTTTTCTGAATCAGAAGCATGTTTTGTCACTTACCAGCCTTCTTATCAGTTTTTCAAGTTGTCTTTTTTGATGAATCAGATGAAAAATTCTTATCAGAATAGTAAGTCGTAGAAGTCGAACTAAATGTATCCATCTAACAATAAATTTAAAAGATCAATTTTTGCTTCAGAAACAGAATTTTATCAATATAAACTACGTCTAGAGCAGCAGTTGTTAACCAGAGGCAATTTGCCCTCTTCTCCCCAATTACCTACCTTGGGGATATTTGGCAATGTCTGCAGGCATTTAGGTTTTCCCAACTGGTGTGTGTGTGTGTGTGTGTGTGTGTGTTACTTACATCTAGTAGATAGAGGCCAGGAATTTTGCTAAACATCCTGCAATTAATATAACTGCTCACTACCCTCTCATGACAATGATCTGGCCCAAAATGTCAGTAATGCTGAGGTTGAGAAATTCTGGTCTAGAGAAATAGTGATACAATAGACTCTTAGCATTTGTTAATTTAATTTTGGGATTTAAGACTAGCATTTTCAATTTTTCCACATCAAAACAAATTGATTATTCTTGATCATCTCTGTTATTCCCATGAGTAAGAGAGGTTCACTACAGCTGCTAATGCATATCAGGCAGGCAACAGACTGAGATACTTCCAAAGCGTGCTGGCTGGTATCTCTCCTACCATCAGAAACACCGACGCAGAGAACTGATGGTCTGGACTAGTGCTTCTCTGATTTGGGCACACGTAAATAAGAGCCACCTGGAAAAGCTTGTTAAGCTGCAGATTGCTGGGTCCCAGAGACACCGATTCAGTGGGTCCAGGGTGGGGCCTAAGGTATTTTTCTTCTTATATTTCTAGCAAGCTCTCAAGTGATGCTGAGGTTTTTAGTCAGAGGACCACATTGGCTAAGGTTATTTTCAAATAACTCCAAAAGCCTATCACTTAACATGCTTAGTTGGGGCCTGAGCTGTAGTCCAGGGAAGCTACGGTACGAAAAGAAATCAGCTATTTGACCCATGAACAAGCTTAGGAAGCCACCATCTACATCCCAGTATACATTTGCTCTTTCATTTTCCTCACTGTCACAGTAAAAAAAGAAAAAAAAAAAAAAAGTCACCAGGTCCTCACACACTCTTTAGTTTCCTAATCCCTAACAGTTCTAATTTTGCCTATGCTTTCTTTGTTTCTACCGCAACTATACTGCAAAACTCCACCATTGTGTTGCTACACCTGTATCTCCTAGTTTCTGTTCTGTTTGCTATTTTTTAGAAACTCAGGATTGAAGTCACTCAAATTTTGCATATGCTCAAATAAACTTCCTCTTGATTGTAGGAAAAATCCAGACAGAACATTTCGTGTGTAAGAGATTTGTAGTTGAAGCACAGAGGGGAATTGTTTTTAACATAAAAATTTTTTGATATAGCACATATTAAACAGATAAGAATATTATACTTGATCTTAGCCAAAAGGCCAAAAAATGATACAAATGGGAATTTGATGAGAACTTCGAAAAGTAGGAAGTTAAAGTTAGTACAAGAGTAAAGGTCCTTCTTTGGGTACTCCATCTTTTTTTTTTTTTTTTTTTTTTTGAGACGGAGTCTCACTCTGTCGCCCAGGCTGGAGTGCAGTGGCTGGATCTCAGTTCACTGCAAGCTCCGTCTCCCAGGTTTACGCCATTCTCCTGCCTCAGCCTCCTGAGTAGCTGGGACTACAGGCGCCCGCCACCTCGCCCGGCTAGTTTTTTGTGTTTTTTAGTAGAGACGGGGTTTCACCGTGTTAGCCAGGATGGTTTCGATCTCCTGACCTCGTGATCCGCCCGTCTCGGCCTCCCAAAGTGCTGGGATTACAGGCTTGCGCCACCGCGCCCGGCCCCATCTTCTTTATTCAATTAATGGTACTTAGTGTGTATGCTCTTCACTGCTCCCCAGATGTCACAATCTTTTAGTTTCAAAGTGTGTGGGAATTTACCTAAACATTTCATTTTAAAGCAATGTATTTGGTATAGAATGAGAACATCTGAAGTTTAAAAGATTATATAGAATAAAAGCCACAGAAAATGCAAAATTAATGAAAAACTTTAAGAGAGGTAACTCTTACATTTCATACCTGGGAATATTCCTAAGAAACTTAATGTCAAAAAAAATGTAAACGACATCAACCAGCAGAGGAGTCACAATAATGGCGGTATCTAAAACGTTAAGTAAGTCAGAAAAATAGTGCTGTCTCCTGTAATATAAAACAAACAAACAAACAAAGTTCATTACCCCCTGAAAGAAGAGATAGGAATATTTAAAGAACACAAACTATTGACTCATCCACATTAAGAATTCTACTTTCATGAATTATTTAAAATGTATTTTCTAGAGTAGACTAAGGGGAAAATATAACATTCATGGGAAGTTTTCAAATAATAAAGTTATATTCATCATTTGACACATATATATATGACTAAAGCACTAACATGGCAATTCAAGTGCCATGATACCACTAAATGCATAATAATCACCCTTATCGTGGACAGTGGGGTATCTATCCACTCAAGCATTTATCATTCACGTTACAAACACCCCAATTACACTCTTTCAGTCATTTAAAAATATACAATCAAGTTATTGTTGACCATGGTCAATCGGTTGTGCTATCAAATAGTAGGCGTTACTCATATTTTTTTGTATCCATTAACCATCTCTATCTCCCACCCCCAAGCCCCTACTACCACTCCCAGCCTCTGATGACCATTCTTCTACTCTCTAGATCTATGAGTTCAATTTTTTTTTTTTCTAGAGCCCCAAAATAAGTGAGAACATGTGAGGTTTGTCCTTCTGTGCCTGGTTTATTTCACCTAACAAACATAGTGATCTCCAGTTCCATTCATGTTGTTCCAAATGACAGGATCTCTTTTTTTTTTTCTTTTTTTTTTTTTTTGAGATGGAGTTTCAGTGTTGTTACCCAGGCTGGAGTGCAATGGCACGATCTTGGCTCACTGCAACCTCCACCTCCTGGGTTCAAGCGATTCTCCTGCCTCAGCCTCACAAGCAGCTGGGATTACAGGCGCCCGGCACCACACCCAGGTAATTTTTGGATTTTTAGTAGAGATGGGGTTTCGCCATGTTGGTCAGGCTGGTCTCGAACTCCTGACCTCAGGTGATCTGCCCATCTCAGCCTCCCAAAGTGCTGGGATTACAGGCATGAGCCACCACACTCGGCCAGGATCTTATTGTTTTTATGGCTAAATAATACTCTCTTGTGTATATGTACTATATTTTCTTTATCCATTCATCTGTTGATGGACACAAGTTACTTCCAAATCTTAGCTATTAGGAACAGTGCTGCAACAACCAGGGAATGCAGATATCTCTTCTATATACTGATTTCCTTTCTTGTGGGTATCTACTCAGCAGTGGGATTGCTGGATCATATGGTAGCTCTATTTTTAGTTTTTTGAGGAACCTCCCAACTGTTCTCCAAAGTGATTCTACTAATTTACATTTCCATAAACAGTGTATGAGGGTTCTCTTCACATCTTTGTCAGGATTTGTTATTGCCTGACTTTTGGATGTAAACCGTTTTAGCTGGGGTGAGATGATATCTCATTGTAGTTTTCTACACTGCCAATTTCTCTAATGATCTATAATGTTAAGCATCTCTTGATATGCCTGTTTATGTATGTTTTCTTTTGAGAAATGCCTATCCAAATCTTATGCTCACTAAAATAGTTAGATCATTAGATTTTTTTCCTAGAGAGTTGTTTGGGCTCCTTACATATTCTGGTTATTAATCCCTTTTCAGATGGGTAGTTGGAAATATTTTCTACCACTCTGTGGGCTGTCTCTTCCCTTTGTTAATTGTTTCCTTTGCTATGAAGAAGCTTTTTAAGTTGATGCAATCCCATTTGTCCATTTTTGCTTTGGTTGCCTGTGCTTGTCGGGTATGGCCCAAGTAATTTTTGCTCCGGCCAATGTCCCAATGTTCTCTTGTAGTATAGTACTTTCATTGAGGTCTTACATTTAAGTCTTTAATCCATGTTGATTTGATTTTTATATATGGTGAGAGGTAGGGGTCTAGGTGCATTATTCTGTATGTGTATATCCAGTTTTCCCAAAACCATTTGTTGAAGAGAAGTCTTTTGTTCAATGTATGTTCTTGGCACATTTATGAAAAATGAGTTCACTGTAAGTGTGTGGATTTGTTTCTGGGTTCTCTATTCTGTTCCAGTGGTCTACATGTCTGTTTTTGTCAGTGCCATGGTGTTTTGGTTATACAGTTCTGTAGTGTAATTTGAAGTCAGGTAATGTGATTCCTCCAGCTTTGTCCTTTTTGCTTAGAATAGCTTTGGCTATTCTGGGTCTTTCGTGGCTCCACATAAATTTTAGGATTGTTTCTTCTATTTCTGTGAAGAATGTCATTCATATTTTGATACAGAGTGCAATCAATCTGTAAATTGCTTTGGATAGTATGGACATTTAAACAATATTGATTCTTCCAATCCATGAACATGGAATCTCTTTCCATTTCTTGGTGTCCTCTTCCATTTCTTTCTTCAGTGTTTTATAATTTTCATTATAAAGGTCTACACTTCTTTGGTTAGGTTAATTTCTAGGTATTTAATTTTATTTGTGGCTATTGTATATAGGACCACTTTTTAAATATCCCTTCCAAATGGTTCACTGTTGACATACAGAAATGCTACTGATTTTTGTATACTGATTTTGTATCCTGCAACTTTGCTGAATTTATCAATTCTAAGTTTTTTTTTGTGGAGTCTTTAGTATTTTCCAAATAAAATGTATCATCTGCAAACACAAGGATAATTTTATTTCTTCTATCCCAATTTGGATTTCTTTTTATATTCCCTTTATTTCTTTCTCTTCTGTGATGGCTCTAGCTAGGACTTCCAGTAGTATGTTGAATAACAGTGGTAAAAGTGAGCATCCTTGTTGTGTTCTAGATTGCAGAGGAAAGATTTTCAGTTTTTTCCCCATTCAGTATGGTATTGACTGTGGGTCTGTCATATATGGTTTTTATTATGTTGAGGTGTGTTACTTCTATACCCAGTTTTTTTAGGGTGTTTACCATGAAGGGATGTTGGATTTTATCAAATGCTTTTTAGCATCAACTGAAATGATCTTATGGTTTTTATCCTTTACTGTGTTGATATAATGTATCGCACTGATTGATTTGCAAATATTGAACCATTCTTGCATCCCAGAGGTACATCCCACTTGTCATGATGAATGATCTTTCCCATATATTGTTGAATTCAGTTTTCTAGTATCTTGTCGAGGATTTTTGCATCAATATGTATCAGATACAGTGGCATGTTTTTTTTTGTTTTGCTTTTTTGTTTGTTTGTTTTGAGACTGAGTCTCACTCTGTCACCCAGGCTGGAATGTAGTAGCATGATCTCAGCTCACTGCAACCTCTGCCTCCCAGGTTCAAGTGATTCTCCTGCCTTGGCCTCATGAGTAGCTAAAATTACAGGTGCCCGGTCACCACACTCAATTAATTTTCATATTTTTAGTAGAGACGGGGTTTCACCATACTGGTCAGGCTGGTCTTGAACTCCTGACCTCCAGTAAACCACCCACCTCTGCTCCCAAAGTGCTGGGATTACAGGAGTGAGCCACCACTTCCAGCCTATGTGTGTCTTTACGGGAGAAGAGTGTTTCTTGTAGGCAACAGATCAATGGGTCTGTTTGTTTTCATTTATTTTTTTTTTTAGATGAAGTCTTGCTCTGTCACCAGGCTGGAGTACAGTGGTGCCATCTCGGCTCATTGCAACCTCTGCCTCCTGGATTCAAGCTATTCTCCTGCCTCAGCCTCCTTAGTAGCTGGGACTACAGGTGTGTACCATCAGGCCCAGTTAATTTTTGTACTTTTAGTAGAGACAGGGTTTCACCATGTTTGCCAGGATGGTCTCTTATCTCTTGACCTCATGATCCACCTGCCTTGGCCTCCCAAAGTGCTGGGATTACAGGCATGAGCCACCACACCTGGCTAGGTCTTGTTTTTATCATCCATTCATCCATTCTGTCTTTTGATTGAAAAGTTTAGTCTGCTGACACTTAATATTATTATTGATAAGTAAGGACTTACTCCTGCCATTTTGTTATTTTTTTTTTTCTGGTTGTTTTGGGGTCTTCTCTTCCTTCTTTCCTTCCTGTCTTCCATCAGTGAAGGTAATTTTCTCTGGTGATGTGATTTAGTTACTTGCTTTTTATTTTTCATGTATCCATTGTTATGTCTTTTGGTTTGAGGTTACCATGAGGCTTGTAAATACTATCTTATAATCCATTATTTTAATCTTATAATAACTTAACACTGTTTTCATAAACTAGTAAAAAGAAAACTAATAACTCTACAACTTTGTGTCCCTATTTTTTAACTTTTTGTTATTTCTATCTTATTACACCATTTATGTCTTGAAAAGTTGTAGTTAATATTTTTGATTGGCTCATAGTTTAGTCTACTTAGAATAAGAGTAGTTTATACATCATAGTTACAGTGTTATAACATTCTGCATTTTTCTGTGTACCTACTATTACCAGTGCATTTTATACCTTCAGGTTGTTACTTATTGCTCATTAATGTCTTCGTCTTTCTGATCGAAGTACTCCCTTTAGCATTTCTTCTAGGACAGGTCTGGTGTTGATGAAATCCCTCATCAACATTTTGAAATCCCTCATTTTGTTTGTGTGGAAAAGTCTTTTTTTCTCCTTCACTTTGAAGGATATTTTCACTGGATACACTGTTTCAAGGTAAATGTTTTTTACCTTCAGCACTTTCAATATGTCATGCCTCTCTCTCCTGGCCTGAAACGTGTCTACTAAAGAGTCTGCTGTCAGATATATTGTAGCTCCATTGTATATATTGGTTTCTTTTCTCTTGCTGCTTTTAAGATCCTTTCTTTATCCTTGATCTTTGAGACTGTGATTATTACATTCCTTGAGGTAGTCTTCTTTGAGTTATATCTGCTTGGTGTTTTATAACTTTCTTGTACTTGGATATTGGTATCTTTCTGTGGGTTTGGGAAGTTCTGTTACTATCCCTTTGAATACACTTTCTACACCTCCCATCTCCTCTTTAAGGCCAATACCACTTAGATTTGTCCTTCTGAGGCTATTTTCTAGATCCTGTAGGCATGCGTCATTGTTTTTTATTCTTTGTCTCCTCTATGTATTTTGAAATAGCCTGTCTTCAAGCTCATTAATTCTTTCTTCTGCTTGATCAATTCTGCTATTAAAAGACTCTAATGCATTCTTTGGTGTGCCAATTACATTTTTTGGCTCCAGAATTTCTGCTTCTTTTAAATTATTTCAATCTCTTTGTTGAACTTATCTAAATAGAATTATGAATTCCTTCTCTGTGTTATCTTGAATTTCTTTGAGTTTCCTCAACACAGCTATTTTGATTTCTTTGTCTAAAAGGTCACATACCTGTTTCTACAGGATTGGCCCCTGGTGTCTTACTTAGTTCATTTGGTGGGGTCATGCTTTCCTGGAAAGTGTTGATGCTAGCAGATGTTCTTTGGTGTCCGGGCATTGAAGAGTTAGGTATTTATTGTAGTTTTCACTGTCAGGGCTTGTTTATACCCATCTTTCTTGGGAAGGCTTTCCAGATATTTGAAAGAACTTGGATATTGTGATCTAAGCTGTCTCTGCTTTAGGGGGCACCCCAAGCCTCCTAAACTCTGTGGTTCTTGCAGACTCATAGTGGTACTGCTTAATGGTCTAGGACAAGATCCAGGATAATTCTCTGCGTTACCAAAAAGAGACTCCTGTTCTCTTCCCTTACTTTCTCCCAAACAAACAGAGTCTCTCTCCCTCTCTGTCCTGAGGCACCCAAAGCTTGGGGTTGAGTGACACAAGCACCCCTGTGGCCACCACTACTGTGACTACACTGGGTCAGACCTAAGGCAAGCACAGCACTGGGTCTTGCCCAAGACCTGCTGTAGCCTCTCCTTAGCTATTGCATAAGTTTGCTGAAGGCCGTGGGGCTCTACAGTCATCACATGGTAAAAACAGCCAGGCCTGTGTCCTTCTCTTCAGGATGGCAAGTTCTCCCAGCCTGTGGGTGGATCCAAAGGCGCTGTCTGGGAATCAGGGTCTAGATCAAAAACTTTAAAAGTCTACCTAGTATTTTATTGTGCTATCGCTGAGTTGTCACTCAAACCACAAGATGCAGTCCCTCCCACTCTTTCTACCCCTCTCCAAAGGCAGAGGAGCATCAATCCACGGCCACCTCAAACACAGGCCATGGGGGTACTGCCAGACTACCGCCAATGTTCTCATAAGGCCCAAAGGCTCTTAAGTCAGTTTGTGGTGAATGCTCCTGTGAATTATTTTAAAATGCTTCTGTTTTGTTTTGTTTTGTTTTGTCTTTGAGATGGAGTCTCGCCCTGTCATCCAGGCTAGAGTGCAATGGTGTGATCTCGGCTCAATGCAACTTCTGCCTCTCAGGTTCAAATGATTTTCCTGCCTCAGCCTCCCAAGCAGCTGGGATTACAGGCACCCACCACCATGCCCAGCTAATTTTTCTATTTTTAGTAGAGACAGGGTTTCACCATGTTGGCCAGGATTGTCTCTAACTCCTGACCTTGGGGTCCTCCCACCTCAGCCTCCCACAGTGCTTCTTATAAAAGTACAAAATAGCTTAATGCATTATAAAAATAATCAAACTTACCCTTCAACAAATACTCGAAGAAGAACATCCATGAGAAAAAATAAGGCAATAGCTAGAGAAATAGAACGATACACCAAAGGAATATAAAGTTTGCTATCATTGAAAATTAGGTCGGCAAAGAGGAGAGTGACATCCAGTAAGACCAGGAAAACTCCAAATATTCTAAAATAAATAAATAAATAAATAAATGCAAAGATAAAGGGGCTTTTGTCCCTATAGCTATACTATATTTAGGCCACTGATCAGGTACCAAAATGTTATTATTTAGTATTAAGCTGCCCAGTGGCAGGAAAAACTGTAATGCTTTAGAATCTCAGAAAGTCACTGTTTTCACCCAATAGAAGCAGTTCTCAATAAACAAAATTTTCACCAAACCACTTCACAAGATATTATCATGCCCTTTTATAGTAGACACATCAGACCAACACCTCAAGAGAAAAGTAAAACTGAATTAAAATCACCTGTGTCTGTTTGTAAATTCTTCTTAAAATTTGAGAATGTCATAAGAAATTTATACAAATTTCTCATAAAAAATAAACCCTCAATCTGGATAATTGTAAAGAATTTATTAATAAAAACCAAATGAAAGCATGAGTAATATATGCTCATAAAAGACCAAGATTTTTCATCAGTGACATTCTCAACAAGTACATGATTCCATATTTATGGGTGCTTCTAGCATAGTGATAGGCACATGAGTCTTGAACTCTAAAGTACCTCCTGCCACTTGCTGTTACATATTCTAAATACATTCTCCATAAACTGATTAGACTATTTGCCTAATCTATGAAGATGAATTAGTCTTCGAAGTAGTTTTTTAAAAACTTGCAGCTCAAATTAAAATAGTATTAATTCAAAAGGAAACAATTACGTTGCATAAATCTGTATCATAGTATGAAATCTTACTCTTATGTAGAGAAGAGTCTAAGTAAATTGTTTCCAGAATTAAAGAGTAAATCTAGATGTATAAGGTACTTAATAAAACACTTTACTAATAATTATAGCATTTTAACATTTGATTTTCATTAATGTTACTTTTACAGATGGAAGAAAAACAATATTAATAAGTTACTATTAATCTTAGGCAAAAGCCATTTATTTGCAAGTCTTAATGTCCAGCTTAAACCAAAATTCCATGATAAATTAGATTACATTAGATGGGGCACATGGCTACTTAGCAACTGATGGACGGTGGAAATGCTTTTTTATTTCAGTCTTTCTCATTGAAGTATTAAGTCTCATATATATATATATATTTTTGTTCTTTTTTTAAAAGATGGAGTATTGCTCTGTCGCCCAGGCTGCAGTGTAATGGTGCAATTTCAGCTCACTGCAACCTGTGCCTTCTTTTTGTATTTTTAGTAGAGATGGGGTTTCACCATGTTAGCCAGGCTGGTCTTGAACTCCTGACTTCAGGTGATCTGCCCGCTTTGGCCTCCCAGAGTGCTGGGATTATAGGCGTGAGCCACCGCGCCCAGTCAAGTCTCAGGTATATTTAATACACGGTGTTTTCTATGTCTCACATACCCAAATGCAAAGGATGATACAATTGAACGCACAATTTTCTTAATCTTGGTGCTGCAAAAAGAAGTAAAAATAAAATTAATCAGATTTCTTCTAACATATATTGTAAGTTTAACCAAAAAACAAAGGCCTTTATAAATACAATTTTAAAAGAAAGTTATTCAGAAGTTGTATGACAAAATGCTTTTTACTAATAGCTAAAATTTTATTCTTTCTGTTCCATAAGTATTTTACTTTGCTATCCAGAATATATGCAAATAAGACAGTAAACTTTGGATGTTTAGTAACATTTCCGTTGCATGCAAAGCCCCAACCCCAACTTTATGGCAATACTAAACTTAAACTTGTGGTCATCAACTCAAGGAGTATAGCATGAAGACAGAAAAGGGTGGTAGAAGAGAACTGAATTTTAAAGCCGGCCTGGGCAAGTCATCAAACTTTGGCCAGATCTCAGTTTCCACCGCAATAAAATAAGGCATTTCGGGAATGAACATAGGGAGTAAATGATGCTCTTGTCATCTCTTCAAACGAGACACCTAGTGAACAGACACACATTAGCAAGAGTCACATTTGAGGTTGCAAATGAACTTCAGAGGTAAGACATTTTAGTAAGATATACTTCAAAGGAGAAACACCCGAAAGACTGGGCTCCATCCATTAATCAAAGGAAGGAGAACCTGTTTGATGGAGACTCCAATAATGCCTCATTTTACCTTATGGCTGGAGACAAGGTAGCTGATGAGGAACAATTCTTCTGTCCTGCTGAAGCCTCCTGTGTTGGAGGCTCTTTAGGAGGAGAAGTCTTCAGGAAGTTTCTGTCACACTGAAGCCTCCAACACAGGACTCAAATTCCACCCCGAGAGCCATGAATCCTAAGACAATGCTCACCGCCTGTGCCTAAGACTGCTGAACAAAGAGGGCAGATACTGAGCAGAACTGGGGCACTGCCAAAATTGGCCTTCGACATGAACAGACATTTCTCAAAAGAAGACATACATGTGGCCAACAAGCATATGAACAAAAGCTCAGTATCACAGATTAGAGAAATGCAAATCAAAACCACAATGAGATACCATTTCACACTAGTCAGAATGGCTATTACTAAACAGTCAAAAAATAACAGATGCTGGCAAGGTTGCAGAGAAAAGGGAACACTTATACATTGTTGGTGGGAGTGTAAATTAGTTCAACCATCGTAAAGAGCAGTATGGCAATACCTTGAAGAGCTAAAAGCAGAACTACTATTTGAGCAATCCCATTACTGGGTATATACCCAGAGGAATATAAATCATTCCACTATAAAGATACATGCATATGAATGCTCGCTGCAGCACTATTTACAACAGCAAAGACATAGAATCAACCTAGGTATCCATCAATGACAGATTGGATAAAGAAAATATGGAACATATATACCACGGAATACTATGCAGCCATAAAAAAAGAATGAGATCATGTCTTTTGTGGGAACATGGATGGAGCTGAAGGCCATTATCCTTAGCAAATTAGTACAGAAACAGAAAACCAAATACTGAATGTTCTCACCTATCAGTGGTAGCTAAATCATAAGGACTTACGAACACAAAGAAAGAAACAGACACTGGGGTCTACTTAAGTGGGGAGGGTAGCAGAACAGAGAGGAGCAGAGAAGATAACAATTTGGGTACTGAGCTTAATACCTGGATGATGAAATAATATGTAAAAAAAAAAAAAAAAAAAAAAACCTCCCTGACATATGTTTACCTATGTAACAGACTTCTCATGTACCTCCAAACCTAAAAATAAAAGTTAAAAAAAAAAAATTGGCCTTTGCTGAATGATGTTAGGTTAACCTGAGATAAAGGAAATCCCCAATCCTTCTAATCTTCCCCTCTCCACCTGGACCCACCACCTCCACCCAGGCTTGGAGAGTTAAGGCTGATGTAGATGGAGGGTCAATTGGCCAAAAGAGGTGAATTCTCTCCTCAACTTGCCATTCTCTTACTACAAGAACCTCTGATCCCACAGTCTACTGGATCTCTGGCTATCAAGGAAATGTCATAAATCTGAATTCACTTGACAATGTCACCATACAGAATCAAGCCTGACAGATTACGAAGGCATGAAGGAGTGGCTTGGGTGGCTTTAGCCCCTTAGTCTGTTTCAGTGTCCACTGAAACACCACGCCCAGCTAATTTTTTGTATTTTTAGTAGAGACGGAGTTTCACCATGTTGGCCAGGATGGTCTCGATCTCTTGACTCTGGTTTTCCTGCTCACTCTAGATCACTAAAACAGGGTAAGGACAATACAGGGGGATGACATTTGCATGCTGAGAAAACTATGAGTCACTTAGAAGAAAAGTAAATTTCTACACTTTATACCTTAAAGTAAATTCAGGGCAGATATTTTATTTAAATGAAGAAAATAAATTCAAAACAGAAATTTTGGTGAATATATTTAACATCTTGGGGTAAGAAGGACTTTCTGAGAATAACATTAAAGGCAAAATCACAAAGAAAAGTACAGATACATTTGATTACATGAAGATTAAATACTTTTTTTTTTTTGTTTTGAGACGGAGTCTCGCTCTGTTGCCCAGGCTGGAGTGCAGTGGCCGGATCTCAGCTCACTGCAAGCTCCGCCTCCCGGGTTCACGCCATTCTCCCGCCTCAGCCTCCTGAGTAGCTGGGACTACAGGCGCCTGCCACCTCACCCGGCTAGTTTTTTGTATTTTTTAGTAGAGACGGGGTTTCACCGTGTTAGCCAGGATGGTCTCGAACTCCTGACCTCGTGATCCGCCCGTCTCGGCCTCCCAAAGTGCTGGGATTACAGGCTTGAGCCACCGCGCCCGGCCGATTAAATACTTTTATATAGTGAAAAGCAAGACAACCTGGGAGAAATTACTTATATTACATAAAATAGAAAAAAGATCAATAGATTTAACTTTTCAGTCCAAAGACAGAAAAACACCCCAATTTTAATTGGGCAAAGGTAGTTTGCAAATGATGAAATATTAACTTAGAAAGGGTAAATGACAGTGTGTCAAGAATGTGCATTAAAACAAATATATTTACTAATATCAAATAAATCAATGATGGCTAGTGCTAAGTGTGGGAGGGGAGAAATGTACACTTTGCATCTTGATGTTAAAGCACATATCAATATCAATAGTGTCACAATCATTCCCTTTGACACAGACTTTCCACTTCTGAGAATTTATAACAAGCAAATAACCAACAACATACAGAGATTTAGCCTCGAATATATTCATTTTTGTAACACTTAAAAACTTGTAAAAACAACTTAATTGTTCAGCAATATCTGACTATTAAATGAATTATAGCACATCTACACCATGAAATATTACACAACTGTTACAAATAATGTTGTAAGTGCACATGAATATGTATTAACAAAAAAATATAGTCATGATGTCATGAAGTAATAAGGTTATTTACAAAATAGTCATGATGTCACATGAAGTAATAAGCAAGTTATTTGTTAAAAGAAATAATAAGCATGGTCTCATACCTAAACAAAAAAGTATATGCTTAAAGAACTTAGAAGTGCACGATCTGTTTAAGAATGACTATATGTGGGCAGACCTGTTGACTGATTTTCAGATTTTCTTAATGAATCCTTTATGTTATTTTCAGTTTTTAGAATAAAACTCATTCACAGAGCTACAGAGTTTTCTAAAAGTTATTGTATGTTATTTTAGTTTTATTAATAATTTTATAAATATAACATCTGGTATAAGAGATAAGATCATAACCAGCTTAAGCATTTGAAATTAATCTGAGTTGTTATATTTAGTGACTGCTGAGTATCAGTGAATGAATATATGATGTCAAAGCCCAGCATCATTCCAGCTTTACTATAAATCCAAGATAACTTCCCTCACATGAAACACCAGCATTTCTCACAGGACTACTGCAAATCTCCTCCTATATCTAAATGAGATTTTGTAATTTAAAAAATAAAAATGAAATGAAAATCTGTTTTATTTTGTTTGACTGGGGAAAGAAGGAAATGCTTGCCTTGCTTAATCTGTCTAATTTTGCTTCAGCTCTGGGCTCTAACAGCAGAAAAATGTATACGACTTGCAGACACAGGTGCTTAATTCAGGTAATTCAGGGTAATTTGAAGAAATCCATTGTATTTGCTCTGTTTGTTTCTAATCTTTGTTTAGATACCAACAGCTATAAACTATGGTGAGTTAACTTCCTCCATGGCAGCATTTCTCTCTCCAGCATTGACTAAGCTGGCAAAATGGTTATACAGCTGGCAAGAAAGAAGCAGAAGAAAAATGAATATGTCTGCAAGTCTGTGATACAAGCCAGTTTAAGAATGTATTGTTTCATTACAGTGAGTACATGATAAAATGCCTTCAGGTCAGTGCACAGAAGTACTCTCAGTGAGATTAATAGAAACAATAAGAACAAAATCCTAAATGAGCATAAAGAGGTTGTTAGTCAGCAAAACACATGTTTGCTTTTGCCATCAATACCACTCTGCTTCAGGCAAAATCTACAAAATTGGGAATCATACAAATACCCAGTAAAAATGAGAAATGTTCACTTCAGTGATGAGTTAAGTAGCATTCTGCATCCCTGTTTTGTTTTTTTTTAAACTTTTAATGGACTAATTTCTTCTAAGAATACTTACATTTTCAAGCTAGGCTAAACATTTATTTCTGAATGGATGGAATTTTTTTTCAAAATAATACTTGTCTAAGAATTCAACTGGAGTAAATATGGTGTACCTTCCACCCATATACATCTTGATATCTTCCATAGCTCTCTTTCCTTCTTGCCTCAGTGCATAAGCCCTGTTTAATCTAAAAGATAAGAGATCCACCAATGCCCTCCTTTCAAACTTCCCCAAATTGACTTACCTACATGAAGCTACAACATTTCAGCATCTTCAACTTCAACCCTGGAAAGTCGTTCAAATATACTTTAGCCACCAAAAAAAAAAAAGAGCAAAAATATATCATTAGACATTTCCATACAAAATAGTGATGAAAATATATTTGAATAACAAGAATCCATGAATCTAAAGGATATAGTAAACATGACTTAGCTCACTGGAAGACTTAATATTTAAGAAAGAAAATCATATGTCCGCTATAACTAGAAACTCTTTCCCATGGATACTCCTAAATACTGAATTTTGGTATATTTCTTTTGTCTTCTTCTTTTCTCTCTCTTTCATATATATGTATATAAAGATATATAAAGAACATGCCCATGATGTATAATATATAAATAATGTGTATAGACATATCTCAAAGACATTGTGGTTCTATCTCCAGACTACTGCAATAAAGCAAAAAAACTGCACTAAGCAACTCACACAAAATGTTTTGGTTTCTGTGCATAAGGAAAGTTATGTTTGATTCTACACTATAGCCTATTGGGTTTGGTGCAGTGGCATTATGTTCAAAAACTTATGTACATACCTTAATTCAAAACTACATTATTGGTTAAAAAATGCTAATAACCTGAGCCTTTAGCAAGTCATAGTCTTTGCTGGTGAGGATATTGCCTCCATGTTGATGGCTGCTGACTGACTTGTGAGAGTGGTGTGGTTGCCAACGGGGTTGGGGGTGGCTGAGGCACTCTCAAATAGAATAACAATGAAGTTTGGTTGTAGCTAATGACTCCTTCCTTTCACAAGTGAGAATTAAGTGGTGAAGCCATCAGGTCCTGGATTTTGTTGAAAGCCTTTTTATTACTGATCTAATCTCTTAATACTTGCTTATGGTCTGTTCAGGTTTTCTATTTCTTCTTGGTTTAGTCTTGGTAGGTTGTATGCATCAAGGATTTTGGTTCATCAGGAAGTTTTCAA